GAACAACTGATCACTATTCTCTTTAGAACAACCTTTTATATATTTGTAACCCAATCCAAAGGGCCGAGTATGGGCGAAATGGAACCTGCTGGGGTTTCAGTCTGTGGTTCCTGGAGTCTAGATATTTCCCTCCAAAGGCTTAGAAGAGAAAATCCAACTCTCTCCATTAGCTATAGAAAATGACGACAATCACATCCCTGCTTGAAGCTAAGAGAGACGCGAGCTGAAATTAGGATGACCAATGAGGATGGCTGAGAAATCAGTGAGTAGATGGGCTGTTGTAATTATTTTCCAATGGGCAGGCATGAGAGAAGATGAAATGAACAACTCTACAGACTGGATTGCTGTCTAAAGAACCCTCCTTACACAAACGCAGAATCCCTGCTCTTATGGGGACTCGTGGAATGGGCAAATCAGACTCCACCCTCCTATTTATTTGGCATTTCTGCAGCCACAGACTGGAAATTGCTGTGTGTTAAAAACAAAAGCATGAGGCACTAACCACACTGAGTTAGCCCCTGATAAGCTCTACTCCAGCCCTGGCATGCGTACTTAGAGTCAGCCACTGCACGTCCCCTGCAGGGGAGGGGACCGAAAGGGATGGGAGCCACTGCAGCTAAAGCCACTGGCAGGACCAGTAGGGTAGTCAAGGGTAAATGTGGGTAAGGGGAGTTGACCCACGACTCATTTGGGAAATATGGAGTTCAGTTTCAGTTAGTTCACCCATTTCTTTTTGCTACCATTGCACCCCTGGGCAGGTAAATCACTGGGCAGGTCATCCGTCTGATTTTAAACCGCTCGTCTTAGGTTGTCCCCCATCTGATACTAAGACAAAACTGGAGAGTGGTATAATCTGGTATTGGACAACACCATTTTGAAGCGTGCCCCTGGTGCACCCTGCCGGCGTGCCCTCGCACGCATTGTCACGAGGCCGCACGGGCCGGGAGGTGAGGTCACACGGGCGGAGGTAGCAGGGGCAGGGAGATACACTCTCCAAAAGGGTGTCCCCCGTGAGGTGTGGCCTTGCACTCCGGTATCGTAGGAGTTTCTCCCATATTTGTGGCCCCTCCGCTCTTGTTTTTTTCATGACTAATGCTTTCTATTTTGGAGGTAGGTAGCGACCAGCTATAGAGCCAACTCCTGATCCCTCTGAAGTCCACAGGGTTTTGTCCAGATGAAGGAAGTGCAGGATTAGAGCTCAGTCTCTGAGCTTTGCAAAGGCCCTGCTGTAAATATCGGTCCCCAGTCTCCACCAGAGAAGAGGTAATTTGGCTTCTGAAGGTGAGGGCAGCCATTGGCTGAGATGGGAGGTGCAGGGTGCGGGGGGAATAACACTGGAGAACAGGACTGGAGTGGCACTAGCAGCCGGTTAACTGCTGGAAGCCAGTTTCACGAGGCCTTCTGTACCCATCCCTCCATCTGCTCGTATTGTGGGCAGAGCAACATCTGCAAGTTATGAAATCATTTCCTGTTGCTTCAAATGCAGACAGCAAGTATGCGACACACCTCTCAGGCAAGGAGAATAGGCCTGCAAGGAGAATAGGCCGTTAACTCAGGTGATTGGCCTCAGGTTAGCCTAGCCCAGCTCTCAGGTTAGCCTAGCCCTTATCAGGGGCTAACTCAGGTCTCAGCTCTGAGGCTAGCCTAGCCTAGCCGCACTGCAAAGCCCTGGCTGTGTCATTGCATCTTCCCCGCTGTTGCGCTCCGCCGTGAGTGTCGCTAAGGACTTTGGGGGCCATCTCCCAGGGTTCTTTGGGCTGCAGTGAACTGAGCCGCATGGTGTTTCGTTCCCAGTGAATTGTGGGAGAACTCATCTGGGGACAGGAGGGGAATTGTGGGAAGGCATGAGGAGACTACAAGCACTCCCACGGATTAGCCTGCGTCCTCAGCCCAAAGTGACAGTGAATAAGGCCCCCGGGCTCTCACCTATACCCCCAGTCAGGCCAGCTAGCACCACAAAACTCAAGCGAGAGGTTTTTGTGTATGGACAGGAAGGGCCCAGAGGCAAGACCCCGAGTTACCTGTGCAGCGAAGACAGACCACCTCATGTGCAAGAGAGCCAGGTGGGGCAGGTTGGATCTGATTCAGATTCAAGCCCAGCGCAGTAGAGACCAGGTCATCCTTTATGAGGTTCCTTCAGCTCAGGGGAAATCAAGGGTGTGATGTAACAACTGTTGTGTGGAATTCACCCCGTGCAGGGAGCCAGTACCACGCTTCTGCACCTACCAAGTGGTCATCTGCACACCCATTGCCCTGGAGGTTTGAATGTTCAAAGCACCATACACGACGTCTCCCCTCACTCCATCCCAGGAGACAGAAGTTTATCACTTCCCCCATTTTGTAGATGGGGAAACTGAGGCACCGAAAGGCAAAGTGACTGAACCCAGGCTCACAAATGGAGTCAGTGTCAGAGCTGGGAATGGACCTCAGGAGTAACAGGCATCTGAGTCTTGTGCTCAAACCCCTAGATCATGTGAACTAAATGCCACAGTGACTCAACCAGAGCTGCTGTGTAATACTGACCAGCGTGGGTAAATAAAAAACATAAGGAGTGATCACAGGGAAATTAAACAGGGACTGTCAATATGCTTGATCAGCAGGGTCTCCAAAAAGCCTGTTCCATCATGCAAGGTCCTCAAACTGCTGCTTCTCCTTGGGACTGCCAGGTTAGGGCAAAGCAGACATGAGGCAGACTTTTATCGCTAGCAAATTCCAACAGCAATTCATCTCTTTTGCTCTGGGTTTGTACAGCACCTAGCACAATGGGGTCTGGGTCCACACCTGTGGTGCCAAGGTGCTGGGTTACAAACAATAAATAATAACTCTCTCTTTTGGAAGACCGAGGCCCCACGCCTTCAAACAGGAGCAGTGGGGGCAAGCAGCTAGTTTTAAGATGGAGCATAATAAGTTTGTGAGCTGGATTATAGGATGCGGTTGTCTACCATAGCAGGAGATTGGACTCAATGACCCAGGAAGTCCCTTCCAGTCCTATGTCCGACATTCTGAAGCCCCTAGTGGGGCTGGGGGCCTTAATTTTAGCCAGCAGAGCTATGTGAATTCATTCACAGCATTAGCTGCAACTCTGGTGACCCTGATAAAGAGCCAATGCCCCCTTTAAATGTCACAGCCTTGTGCCAGCCCTGACCCATCATCTTCAGAGCCGATGAGAGGCGAGTCCCTTAGCACAAACTCTCCATGGGTCTGGAAAAAACTGGTTCCTTAATGGAGGTGGCCTTCTAATAAAAGTGGAGCCGAACTGTGCTTATCAGATGTCATATTTGGGGAGGTCTCTTAAAACAGGAGATTACCTAATAAGGGTGGTGCCTTGCACAGGCCTCTCTGTATGAAGGAACTCTTTGATCATTCATCAGAGGTGGCTGGTAACATAGGCAAGTGGGTCGGCAAACCCAACGCAGAGTCACTGTTTCCTCTGTGCGTGGGACCCTTTTTCTTCTCTTACTTTCATTCTGACTCTGGTTTGTAGAGGCAGCTGAGGGGGTACAGTTCTGTATGCATCCCCAAACCCCCTTCCACAATGCAGAGCATCCCCAAAGGAGATTCCCCTGACTAGCGCTGACTAATGTCACAAGACCATGTATTTGGCCCGCACTAGCCCGGTCTGTTTTCCATTCAGATTTGTAATCAGTGAGAAGAACATCTAGTGTGTCACTCTAATTTCTTTTCAGGTCTGTGTGTATAAAGGATGTCTAAAATATCATGACATCAAACTCAATGATCAATTATTGCAAATCAAGGAGAAATGACCTTTCCAGCAACATAGGGAAGGGGCTGAACCAAACCCTTGAATCCAAACAACCCAGTCTTTAACCAGAGGAGATGGAATGTATCTAGCTACCTATCTGGGTATTTATACTGTGTCCATCAGTGTGGTATCTGAGCAGCTGTATCCAAACCAGAATCTGATACCGAATTTGTAGCAACCTCTGTGCTTTAATAGGCTGAACTGAATACCTTGATCTAAACATGTAACCCACACACCTTCTTGGTGTGGTGTTCTGTCCCATCTAGCGACACCGAGACCACTTAAAGAGAGAGATGAAATGAGTTTGCTCTTCAGCCTTAGCTAACAGTGAGTTGACTTTCAGCTCATGCGGTAGAGGCTCATGCACTAAGCTCCAGAGTTCCCAGGTTCAATCCCACCTGCCGATGACTGGGGTCTGTTGGCCTAAGAAACATACCCCAGTTTTTGGATGGTTTCAAATCCCAGTCTAGGCCTGAATCTAAATTTTGTAGTTCAGCCCCACCTCGTGACCTAACCTTCTACATCTCATAGTCTCAGATGGCCACACATGGAATCCACAGTTATGATAGGATAAAACTAACAATACCCAAATCTTATTTCACTGGTAGACCTGAAAGTGTTTCACAACATCCAAGGCTCTCAAAGTGTTTTACAAATATATTGTTAACCCCATTTTACAGATGGGGAACCAAGTCACCGAGATATACAGAGCTAGATTTTCAAAAGAGCTCAAGGACAGATTTTTGAGTGCTTCACGCTGAATGTGGGTGCTGAGCCCATCTGAAAATTCTGGCCTAAGTGACTTGCCCAAGGTCACACATCGATTGAGTCAGTGTCGGAAGCCAGGTTTCCTCATTCCCAGTCCTGTAATAACCAGATCACACTAGTGGGCCATCATCATGAGCCTTCATTTGGTCAGCAGTCTAGAAAGCACCAGGCTTCAGCGAATGAAAGCACAACGCTGTTGCCAACCCCTCTGAATCCAAGCAAAGGCGACTGAGAAAAACGCTCAAACTTCTCAGATCTCATGCTACCACGTTGCTTTGCCCTAAAGCCCTCCAGATCCCCAGCTGATGTAAAGCGGCGTGAATTAACATCCACAGAGCTATGCTGATATACTCCAGCTGAGGACCTGGCCCACTGTGGGCACAGAGGCTGGAGTCACTTCATCAGATCCATTGGCCAGACAGGCCCCTGATTCAGGCAGGAATTTAAGGGTATAAAAAAATAACAGTACCTATTTTTGCAGCATCCATTTTCAGGTTGAAATCCCAATTCCGCGGCAGCTTGAGGGACATTTTGAACCAGGGTTTTAGTTGGCTTTTTAAACGTAGCTATTTTTCCAAGTGTCTCTGTACTGTGACACTTCTTCTAATCCCGGGCCCTGTTTTGATTCCCTCTGGAGCTTGCTTGAAAAATGAAGTCTCGCTTGAGGTTGATTTGCCAATGCACTTCCTCCTGTGCTCAGCTCTTAAGCAACCCCATAAAAGTACTTTTCTATCTTTCTTCTTCTTTTTTGCAAAGCTTTCTCTTTTGCTTTTCAGACGCACCATAAGCCTCTTGGCTGGCCCTTTTGCAAGTCCCCCTTTGATAATACCTCAGTCACACTCTAATTCAGAGAAGCTGAAGTCACGGCTGCATTTCATCCACCAGCCTCTGGCTTCACTGAAAAGCACTGATAAATAGCAGCGCTTCTGGGTTTGTTTTCTTTGCATTTGAGGAAGTGGGTGTCTTTTCTGTGCAATTGATGTGCTCGAAAAGATTGAGCGTTTGCCTCGTGGCTGAGGGGTATAGCCCAGCATTCAGTTTCAGGAAATGTTAAACTGAAGAGCAGACTGGCCGCTCTGGGGACCTGCTGCAGTTTTACCAACTAAACCCCTAAAATAGGAACTTAGAGGCAGGTCAGCTTGGCTGGGCAAGTATGCAGGTAATATCTGTGCCTGACCTGGAAACCTGCATTTTTTCCAAAGAGACAAGGGTCGACTTTCAGTTGCTTGGCACCTTGAATCATCCTAGAGATATGTGCAAAATGGGCATAGGATGGTGCCAGATCAGAAGGGCAGTGTTTGCACACACTTTGCACTAGTGGAAACAAATGCACTAGGTGCAGGGCACTGGTGAAGCTGGCCCTACTCACCCAGACCTCGTGCACTCTGCAACACACTAAGGCCTGCCCCCCAGTGCTTAATTTTTGCTGGGGCTGAGCCCCGGCACCTCTGGGCTTGGCAATTCATAGCCCCGGCACCTCGGGCTTGCTGCATTTGTTATGAATGTAAAAAATTGCTTGAGCTCCGGCACCTCTTTCATTACAACTTAAGCCCTGCCTGTGAAGTGGGGGGCGTCGGGGAGTGAGAGAGCAGGGGACATACAGCAGTGAAAGCCGAAACACTGTCCTGGAGGGTGCGAGGTGGATGTCCGCTGGAAATCCTACTCCAGAGCAGACTTCGGAACAATACGCTCTGCTGTGGGGGAATGTGAATTACTCTGAGGGGGGCTGGTTATGATTACAAGCGAGCAGCATAATTCAATGGTTAGAGCAGGGGCCTGGAGATGAAATCCTGTCCCCATTTAAATCAATAGCAAAAACTCCCATTGACTTCGGCAGGGCCAGGATTCCACCACTGGGTTCTCTACCTGACTCAGCCACTGACTCAACATGTGGCCTGGGGAAAGCCACTTCACTGTTCAGTGCCTCACTCCTTTCTTCTGCAAAATGGGGTCAATACCCACTATTAGCGGGAGCTTCACATGGACGGCACCATGTGGAAAGGGAGTCGGTGGCCATTTAGGATTTCACAGCTGTCTCGATCCTGCTCACGCATTCATGGAGTGCAGCTGAGTCAGACCTCCAGAGCCTCCAGCTCCAACAGACTCCACGGGAGCTAAATAGGCATTTATCTGTGAGCAGTGCAGGGTCTCTGACACACAGCTATGCAGTTCCGATTCCATCCAGCAGAGGGCAGTGATGTGCCTTAACCGGTTCATATTAGTATTTCAGTGCAAAGCAAAGCATCGCTATTTGCATGGAGACTTTGTTCACTTTGAAAGGCTCACCTAGCATGCCTGAAGCAGTGTGCTTCACCTCTATGAAAGGAGATCCATTGCAGTATAAAAAAGGAGAAGCAAATTCACCACCTCCCAGTCCTAAAAGTTAAGAAACAGCTTGTCAAACACATGATAATGTAGCGAGATCATTTTATGGACAAACATCAGTGCACACACTGGGAACCCCCTGCGGCAGGGGCAGAGGGAAGTTGCCTTGAACAGGAGGAACAGCCAGGCCGTGAGCACAATGCAATGAAAGCAGTCATGGTCTGTATTTCCTGTTACAACTCATTGTTCAAGGGCAATGCATTTCAGAAGCGTGCATCTGAGGTGCAGCGAGCATGCGGTAGGTGAAGTGCAGCACATTACCATAACGTCAGGCATCACAGCACGGAAATGTCTGTATCCACATACAAGGCGTGCTTCTGCTCTGACCACCCCTGTGTTGTACAGGCTGATTAGGGACTGTCTCATTGAGCTAAATGTGTATCCCCAATTCTAAAGCAATGACTCAGTGTTGCCCAAATATCCACCGCAGTTGGGCTCAGAACACCGATATTCAGGCTGTCAAATGAAATATACAAAAAGTACATAGCAAGACAGCAGGGATCTGGGAGACGGGACTTGTCTATTCAAGCCTTGAGGAAATGCAAGGAAGATGCCACGTTGTGGTGGGTTTTGTGATGTAGAAATTGCTCTCCTTAAATTGAAGACGCTAAGGGCTTGTTACACATAAAAGACAATCAGGAATAAGGTAAAATGTGAATTTAAAGCAGATTAACTATTTCTGATTAATGCCATGTGTGGACACACTTATTCCGAGTCATCCTAATCCGCTTCCAAAGCGGATGACGATAATTCAGAATAGAAAGTGGATTGAGATAATCTGGAATAAGAGCATCCACATTTGGAGCTAATCACTCAATCAGGAATAGCAACTGCAGAATAAAACCCCACAGGTCACCATATAAGGCTCGCAGCTGGCCCCATCTGAACTGGATGTGGGGATGTAACTGATAATGTAGAGATGAAAGCTCCATAGTTTATTACTCATCAGCAGCCCACTCTGCTGCCTCTTCCCCTTTAAGGGATCTTAATTGTTCACCAAAACAACAAAGCCAGATAAACATTGGCTACTGCAGTGTGTTTCTTCTGGAGACTACTTTTCCTGTCATTTAAATGCACTCTGCGTGTATAGTAAAGGGTAAATTAAAAAATAAACTTACTTATGTACAGGGCAAGCACTTTTCTATGGCCAAGCCACATAAGCCCCAGGATACTGTAACCAGAGAGACAAGTCAAGTATTCCCCAGTCTCAAATATTCCATAGTGAAAAACCCCAATACATGACAACAGGAGGCAGCTATGGAAAATACAGTCACCGCGGCCCAGCAGCAATCCCATTAGCTTCGCCTCCGTTACTGAGCTTGAACTTCATTAACCCTGGAGTCCTGGCCAAACGCCAGCTTTGCATTCGGGCTATGTGAATTCCCCCTCGGTTGCAAATGGATATGATAACGTCCTATCCTGAACTGTGGTATAGTCCTGCTTTGCACTGCTCTCACTTCCCAGGGCCCACCCTGGGGGTAACTGCATGTCAGTGGGGAGTGAGTAAGCCCTCTCTGTAGTTTGGCTCTTTGATTTTCAGTTTGCAAAGCATGTCGGGAGAAAGGGGCTATTCTGAATGATCTCAGAATGCGTGTCCACACATGGAGTTAATCCGCATCAGGGCCGTGCACACACAGGGACTAGAACAGCAGGTTAGCCAACAAGGTTTATTCTGAAGATGTGACACAACCGTGGGCTAGGGTCTGCTTTCTTGGTGGCTACCAGGCCAATAGACGAACACTCGAGACACCTCAGAGCTGCAGAAAATTATCCACGAAACACTCACGTAGCAGGCCATCTTGGTTTCAGCTTGCCACAGCAGAAGGATGTGAGAATGGTGACATGGCCCTGAGATGACGGGCATGCATTAGAGAACGTTGTTTTCACAAGGATAAAAAGTGAAGTCATCTTGAGCAATGTGTCTCATTTATCACTGTTGTGTAAATACAATGCGCTTATAAGGGCTAAGCGTGGGACTATCGAGGAGGCAGAGGTTCCATTGAGAATGCTCTAACGGCTGGTTGGTGGCTTGTTCACTTATACAGAGCACAGGACTGGAAAGCACAAACTCTGTCATTGCGGCAAAAGTAAGGGGTTTCTCACACTGAGCTAGCTAACTCAATAGGACAAATGGGGCAGTGGTTGGGGCGCGAACCTAGGAGACCTGGCTTTAATTCTCTGCTCTAACATAGACCAGGTCTACACTGCATACTTACTTCGGTAGAACTCCGTCTCTCAGGGGTATGAAAAATCCACGCAGTGAGAGACCGAGTTATAGGGATCTTAACCCCCCGTGTAGACAGAGCTATGTCGGCAGGCGCGCGTCTCCTGCCGGCACAGCTCCCGCGTCTCACAGAGGTGGAGTAACTAAGCTGGCGGGAGAGCCCTCGCCCGTTGGCTTAAGGCATCTTCATCCGAATGCTGAACCAGTGCAGCGTTTGGTGTGTAGACCAGACCTGCCTGTAGCCTGCCTGTGTGATTTTGGGGAAGTCAATTAGCCTCCCTGTGCTTCAGGTCCCCATCTGTAAAATAAGGATAATAGCGGGAGCCGTATCAGGGCCATAGACAGGCTATAAAAATGTAGTGAAAACAGGATCGTTAGTTTGTAGATAGTTGCATCCACCGTGGGGTTTAACCTCCCATAACTACACTGAGGTGAAAACAACAGTGCTGTGACACCATTAGCTTTCTTTTCTTGCCTTCTTTTCTTTCCACCCTGAAACAAGAGCCAGCGTTCTGAGTTGTAATCCCAGCTCCGAACCCTGGACGTAGTTTGGGAGAGGAAGGGAGGGGTGTTGCCCCCCCCAAACTCAGGCAGGCATGGAATTTGCCCCCTCCCCCCTCGGCCCCGTTGGCCTGACTGGAGCCCCCTCCCCAAATATAGTTGAAGTCAAACTATACCTATGCTCCTAATACTTCCTGCCCTCAAACACGCCAGAGCCACGCCTGGTGCAACTCAGAGTTGCATTGAAAGCTGTGAAGCGCTGCTGATTTACACCAGCTGAGAGCTGGCCCTTCAGATAACGTGTCTGCCGTCACTGACTCAGAATGGTGCTCCCACGTACCCACTTCCTGGCTGGTAGGAGGCTTAATTAGCATTACCCCTTGAAGATGAAAAGCACCCTGTACCAATTAGGGTAACCAGCCCAGTACACAGACATTAACTTGCACCGGGGGGAATGGGAAGCAAGCGCAGCTGTTTTCTAAAGACACGTTTAGAGGAAGGGAAAAAGTCCCTCACACAGTGTTATGATTCATTTGAGAATGGGACAGGTGGGTGGGGAGAGTTAGACTAGGACTCAATAGACCTAGGTTCAATTCCCTACTCTGCCACAGACTTCCTGTGTGACCCCGGGCACACCCCTTTAGTCTCTCTGTGTCTGTTTCCACATTGGTAAAACAGGGATCACAGCACTGCCCTACCTCCCAGGGGTTATATTTAATCTCCCAGGGTGAGGTTAAATACATGGCAGTGTGAGATATTAC